TGCTTTGTGAGTCGTCAGCTTTTGACAACTCATGAAGCAGGATGACTCGCTAAAATGGTGAGTCATCCCCATCTCCAAATTTAACCTATTAAAGAGTTTGGAAGTCAAGTCATATGAGGAACAATGGAGGGGGCTGGGTATATTCAGTCTGGAGAAGAGAAAAATAAGAAGTGATGTGACAGCCATCTTAAAATACCTGAAGAACTGTATCAAATGGAAGATGGAGCAAACTTGTTTTCTGCTGCTCCTGAGTGTAGAACCAAAATGAATAGATTCAAATAGTCAATGGTCTGAGGAACTGGATTTTGATCCATGAAAGCTCACATGGAAATAATGTTGTTCGTCTTTCAAATGCTATAATATTTTGTTGTTATTTTTCCATTTTCTCTTTTCTTCTGCTAACATGCTCAGATAGCCATGTTAGCCTACTTGTTTAGAAATAGATTCAAACTACAGAAAAGAAATTCCAGCTGGACATTAGGAAGAACGTTAATTTCCCTATTTTCTATTGGAATAAGAAACACTTAACGGTTCTCACTTGTAACAGAACTGCATTTTGTGGGTTTAACATCAATGTAATTTAAAGTCAAAAAATGACACTTATCAAAGATAGCAAATAAGTGGCATTGGTTATATAATTTGTTCAGTGAATTAGTATAACTCAAGTTGCCTTCAGCCATCCCCATATTCAATTTCTCTATTTTTTTTTCACCTTTCTTTGTTTCTTTCAAAAATATTGGACAAACAGCTAATTTGCATTTGTTTTAATGTTAAGCACCATTAAGCTCCCAGTGACTGAAAAAGAGAGATTTACACCCTTCTCTCTTAAAAAAAAAATCATAGTGGAAGACTGTTGCAATAACATTACTTTCCAGCAAAGGAAAGAAATATCATAGCTTTACTTGGAAAGCTTTCAAAAATACAGCTGGACTTACTTGTAGTAAAGCTGCCAGTGAGTGCTTCGGATTGGCCCTCATCATAAAGCGAGAAAATAGCAACGGTATATTCTGTGAGGGATGTCAAACTGTTCAGAGTGTGGGTTGAAACACGACCAACCTCTTCCTGCAAGAAAAGAGAGGGCTGACTTTTAGAAATGATGTGATGAGTCCCAAGACAAATTCAGCTGGCTTGAGCCATTTTACGTCAAGACACAAGAGACAGGTTTGTTTTGAGTGATCCTTGAATTAGGAGTTTCCTGACAACTGATGAAAGAATCCTGGATTAGCTTTTAGGGCATATTTTCCATGGCTTGGCAGAAACCCTGTTTTACAGGAAGCTACAGATCATTTCCTTCCCTGGAAGGGAAAGAAGGAGGGGGAAGAAAGGGGACACTCCTTCTCACTGTCACACACCCATGAAATCTTGCTTCTTGAACAAGACCACCAGAACTTGAAGGCAAGAAGAGCATTTGCAAGGCATGCTTTAAACAAATTGTGACCAAACCGGGGGGGGGGGCCCTTTGCATCCCTGTCACTGTTCCCTTCTCAAGACCCCTTCAGTAGTCACTCAGCCACACACCTCTTGCTGATCCTGAGAGGGAAGGACTCAGGTGAACCGATGTGGGAAGATGCTACAAGTCTCAACTGAAAACTCTTCACTCCCTGACATGCCATTCAACCTGTGAGACTGTGAATGCTTCAGGGGGTTTAAAGTAAAAGGTTTGAGAGGCTGCCACCACTCCCATTAAAAAATATAAAATATTTCCGTAACTTGGGTGAACCCAGGACTAGATTTAATGCCATTCTTCCCTCTTATTCACCCTCCAGACAATGGTTTGAAAGGATTTTGTATTTTACAAAAAGAAGAAAAGGGGTGTGTGTGGGGGGGAAGAGGACAATTTAAAAGAATAACAATTTTAAGTGGTTAGAAGAACAGAGTACTCAAAAATGAGGAGCAAATGTGATTACAGGGTTAGAGCATTCAAATGTAGAAACATGCCAGAAAGTAATAAATTCTAATTTACGCTCTCTGGTTCATACTTCAGTGCTCCCCATGATAGGTTCATGAATAGCACACAGAGGTCTCCTTGTGAATCATGCTGCAGCTGTGAAGCAAAGCATAATCTGTCCACAGACACATGCTGAGCTCAATCTCAGTTTCTCAGTTCCGATTTGTATTATAAATGAGTAGGCCATTTATCACCTGTGGCCAACAATTACTTGATTACTCTTAATCTGCTTTGATCATTCTTACAAGACAAAAGGCAGTCTTCCTGACTCAGATCTGCATATATCTCTGGGAAAGGAAGCTGGCTGATTAGATTCCCCTCTTGAGGGGTTTGATACACAAGTCTATAGTGTCTTGTCTCGAAAGAGCCTCCACACATGTGCTGAGGTATCCGCCCTTTGAAGTGGCCCAATGAAAGGAATACAGGAATATAAGGTAGGGAAAAGATGTGAACAGGCGATTTCCAGATGACCATTTGTCATGAAACTTTCTCTGCACTTAGAGGCACATAGAAAAGTCCAAAAAATGAATTTCATTTCCCTCAAGTTCTTGTTTTTTCCACAAAAAGTAAAAGAAAAAAATGCTTATAAAATACTACAGTGGACCCTCGACTTACAGATGGCTCAACTTACAGACTTTTCGAGTTACAGACTTCTCTGGCCACAAAATTTAGGTTTGACTTGCAGCCAGAGAATCGACCTACAGACCAGAAAAAAACCAAAATGGAATAAAAATGGAACAAAACCGGCTGGCTATGGGATTAATCAGTTTTCAATGGATTGTATGTCAATGGAGCCTCGACCTACAGACTTTTCGACCTGCAGCCACCGTTCCAAAATGGATTAATTCCGTAAGTAGAGGGTCCACTGTATTTCTGTTTAAGAGCCAAGAAACTGATCTTTACTTTCTAATGGAAAGGGCAGCTTACCATTCCTCCTAAGTTATAAAGTCTGAAGTAAAAAAGAGAGAAAACGTTGGCAGACATAACAGAAAACAAATATGGACTTGGTAATACAGGTTAGGGTTTGTACATTTTTAAAGGCCTGAAATGTGGTTACCAAGATAATCCATTTTGCTCTATTTGTTGGTGTGGTATCCCTTTTTAGGAGGAAAAAATAATAATTGGAAGGCTTTGTAAAATATGGCTCTAGAGTTTTATTGACTAGTGAAGTGTGCTGCCCTTTCACTATTTGGAAAGAGAAAGCATCTGTCAACATCCATGGTGCCACTTCCATTTCTGAACCTGATATCCAGAATCCTCACCACAGCCTAATAGTTATGCTAGCAACATGGCCAGACTTTGTGATGGAAGTTCAGCAGAATAAACAAGAATAGCAGGGTTGGCGTATTGAATCCTTACATGCTGGCAGAATACATTACAATGTAAAGAGAGGGGGTCCCCCCCTACACTAACATTAGACCATTAGGTCCAAAGCATAAATTTATTTCACTGTGTTCTTGCCTAATAAAGGAAAGGAAGAGGAAGCATATGCCTGCCTGATGTTGACTACTGGGACAAATTCAAGTTTACCTCTTAAGACTTAATTGCATAATGGAACAAAAAAGAATGTACTTCCATGATTACGCAAAACCTAATCAGATTGCTATGAATGATGTGAAATATCTTTTTGGACTACACGTTCCAGAATCCTCCAGCCAGAATGTTCTTTTGTAGTCCAAAATGGAATTCCTATAAGTTTATTTTCATGTACATTATTGGCAAACTATTTTCATGTAAATTATTGGCAAACTTTATACGTGATATAGATATATCTGTTCACATTTTTTTTCTAAGCCTCTAGTGATTTTTTAAAAAGTCTCTTTACCTCATTGGTTTCTGTTCCATCTGTCTTCACATACACAATGCGATAGCCATTCACTTTTTGAGAAGCAGAATCCCATGTTATCTTAGCTGAGCTGTGTCCAATGTTTGAAAAACTCAGGTTCCGTGGTGGACTTAAAGGCACTTTACAATGTGGAAAGAAGTTCAAATTATAAAAATATTTTTATTGCTTTCCTTTCAGTGTCTCTTAAACATGAAAACAAGCCACTTTAAAAGGAACATTTTATGCCAAAGGACTTGGTATTAAGCTAAATGAAGCACATTTTTTAGTAAAATATGGAATTATTCAATCACCCATCAGGCTCCCTTTCTTGACCCCCTCAGAAAAATTGCATTTTAAGGGCCAAAAAATCTGAGGCAAAATTCTCTCTTGCCTCTGTTAGTCATATTGTGATTATGGTTTCTGCTTTTCAATGCAAACGGCAGAGAAATGTTTCCCCTAAGGGTAAAAGTAAAGGTTCCCCTTGATGTTTAGTCCAGTTGTGTCCAACTCTAGGGCACGCTGCTCATCCCCGTTTCCAAGCCATAGAGCCAGCGTTTGTCCAAAGACTGTTTCCATGGTCTCATGGCTGGCGCGACTAGACATGGAACGCCGTTACCTTCCCACTGAGGTGGTACCTATTTATCTACTCATATTTGCATGCTTTCAAACTGCTAGGTTGGCAGGAACTGGGACAAGCAATGGGAGCTCACTCCGTCGTGTGGATTTGATCTTATGACTGCTGGTCTTATGACCCCGCAGCACAGAGGCTTCTGCGGTTTAACCCGCGGCGCCACCACATCCCTTAATGTTTCCCCTACAAAACCACAAAGGACTGAGAGCTGACAAGAAATGGGAGGCTCTCCCCCAGAGGCAAGCCTTGGAAGAGTGTTGTGGACTCCTGCAACCGACCTCATTGGTGTAGATGGCCACAGTGATTTCTCCAGTGGAAACCAGCAGCGTCTCAGTTTGAAAAACTTGAAGCCAAGCTAGGTTTTCCTCATTGTGTAGTTGGACCCAGACATGGGAGCTACCTTGTGACAGAGCATTGCACAACCATTCATGTAAGCAGTTATGGAACAGAAATTTCATGCCCATTACATGCACTGTGCAATGAAGCAGGGCCTCTCCAAAAGCACAAAGAGTTGTGCAACATTTATGCATGTAGTACAACCTGCACCACTCTGTCTTGGATAAGGTTTTTCTACCATTCCCCAAAAAGTGCAAACGCTTGTACAATGTTACCTATGCTAAAGTCAATGCCTGACAGGATCCCAACTGATATGTTCACTGTACCTTTGTCCTCTGTAATGTATTAATATAGTAAGATGCAGACACTCAGCATTGTTCTGAATCTCTCCTTCAACAAGTCTGGCTATTTATTTATGATGTAGTACAATTCAGAGTTTTGTGCAAATGTATGTGGGACATCTTGTTTTCCTCTCAGAGACAACCCTCTTTGCAGTTTTGTTACTACATGCTTAAGAGCATGAACAATTTGAAGCGGAACGTCTGGAGACCTAGAGATCATCAAGGAAATATACCAGCTGGGACATCTCTGGTTTGGGGGCAGGGGGAAAATTAGGAGCCCTTCCAGGGTAAGACCTGCCCAAAGAAACACGTGGAGTTGGCACAAAACCTAAGAGATCATGCAGAAGATATTTCCAGTGTAAATAATTTTCCATAGCGTCTGACAAGTAAGGGTGTGTGCGTGTGTGCATGTGCAATAGCCAAGCCTCTTTGAATCCACATAGAAAAGTCAATCCAATTAGTAGCTGGATTTTACTTCAGCAATGGAAATGGCCATTTCTTGAAGGCAGAAAACTAGCTGAGGTCAGCACCAAGCAAGTTGCACACCATGTACTATCCCTTTGCTCGTCCTCTTTGCCTCACAGAACATCTGCCTGAGGTAGCTTCTTTAGGCTGAAGTCACACACTATGGGAAACGTGTATTTTCTTCTATTTCATTTTCCTTTCGGGCAGTGGGAAACAAAGAAAATGTATGGGGGGGTGTTATAATATCCACAGCAAAATTCAAAGACATGCTCTCGTTTCTGTGTTAAGTCTGTGAACTGCCTTTCAGAGGGGTTGCCTCAAAGGGCAGTAGAAAATATATTAATTAAATTATTTTAAGGGAATTAGAACTTTGAAAATGGCAAAGTTTACTTCCTTACACATCATAATAAGCAGAGATATAGTTCAGGAGAATATTCAGAATTACTATGAAACACTGGGAGAAGATGGGTGGGAATGAATTTCCTTCATTTACTTTCTCTCAGTGATGCTTTCAGAAATAGTATTCTACATGAAAGTTTGGAGATAGAAAACAGTTTTCAAACACAGAAAGCTCTTCCACCGTTTTACTTCTGAGGCTCACATCAGCAACTCACATGTTGTCTCTTGTCCTGTAAGGGGATCGCTTGCCTCTTCTCCAAACATTGCATAAACTGTGACCGTATATTCTGTATTGGGAAGCAGACCTTGCAGTTCAATGTCTGTTGAGCTCTCTCCAATTTTCATCTATGACCAAGAGAAAGTAGCAGTTCACACATTAAAGGTCCCGTATGTTCAAAATCTGTTTCTGCCAGATGATCCCACAGCCTCTCCCTCTTCCCACCTAACTCTCATCTTGAAAGACTCAAATCGGAGCCAAAAAGGTTGCCATCTTTTTGTAATTCAATACACTGAAGCAGGCTAGAAAGCAGGAATTTTTATCTTATTATTTTATCCTTATCTTCAGGGAATTTTTCATAGGGGGCACAGTCAAAATACAGGGGAGATACAGGTCCAGAAAGGGTGGAAAATGGTACACAAAAGCAGCAATCTAATGCAATGCAATCCTAGGCATGTCTACTCAGAAGTAAACCCTGATGAATTCAGTAGGCCTTACGCCCCAATAAATAGATACAGGATACAGGTTTTAAAGAGAAACAGAAGACAGAAACAGAATACAGTATCATTAGGCAAATGTCTAGTCTTTATTGCTTGGTGAGTGATCCATTCAGGAAGCAACAGGCTTGAGCTGGCATAGAGGAACATATGAAAGACGCATTACAAATATTCCTGTTATGAGGACTACACACCACATGAGGTGAGAGGAGGACAAGAATACTTAGGTACAAAAACCTAGTGCTTTCTCGTCGCTCTTGTTATTGTTTCAACAATGAAGAAAACACACCTGAAAATGGCAGCAGAAAAAAAGAGGCATACCTAGAAGGTAGGCAACAGTGGTGACTAGTGTATTAAAACTATTTTTATGAGGTAAATTTCAGTTATTTCGGATGTAAAAATTAAAGTCTTCTGTCTCTTTTTATCCCTTTGAGCCCCTTCACCAGGCACAATAATAATAATAACGACTAATTTATTTGTGGAAAAAAATCTGTCTGAAGTGTGAGGTCCCTCAGGTTTGCTGACTTCCAGTGTGGGGTACGTGCCCGTGGCTATAAATCTTGCAAAGAACAAAACACAAGTTTATGCAAGTGCTCGATGGCTTCCCTACACTCCTTTCTACAATTCAACATGTCTTTGCACGCTGTTAAGTCTTCTTACTTGAGTGGGTGAGTATAAGTGTAATTTTGCATGTAGAAATTAAGGCGGGTGGTAGAGATTAGGTTCTTTTCTAGCCCAAACTTGACCCTGTTTAAATGGGTGTGGGCGGGTGGGTGTGATGTGCATGGCTGCTTAGACATAACTTTTGTTGTTGTTTAGTCGTTAAGTACTGCTTAGACATTTGTTGTTGTTTAGTCATTTAGTTGTGTCCGATTCTTCGTGACCCCATGGACCAGAGCACGCCAGGCCCTCCTGCCTTCCACTGCCTTCAGCTACGTTTATTAACAACCATGTACAAAATGTGGCCCACTACGACAAATGTAGCCCGCCACCTACTGCTAGCTTCCCACTACAAGTTTAGTAAATTTTCCATCTTTGTCACCTGATAAAGAAAAAAAAAGTTGCTACATCTAGAATAAGCACAACACATAAGAAGTGTGTTGCGTTCATCTTGCTGAACCACCAGTTCTGTGTGACTGATCTCCACAGGGTAAACCTTGTGCAGTCTCTTTCATTTTGACCTTCAAGTAACACAGTGTTGTTTGTTTGTTTAACACAATATTATTTCTTTTTAGGGAGGAAAAAAGCAATCAATGCATGGCATTCTGCCAAGGTAAAATTGGGGAGGCATAAAGTTCTTCCTAAGAAGAAAGACACTTTTCCAACCCCTTCTAGTGCTTTGTGTCAAAGGAGTGCCCAGTTCACCAAGATTTGCATTCAAACCTCTTTTCAAAAATCAAAATTTCTTTAAGAAAGCAGCTTTGCTTTAAGAAGTCTGCAACGGCTATATTGTAGACGTTTACTTCTCTATGGGAACCATTTCTGTTTGGCTTGGCTTGGCCTGGCTGTGCTGTCATCTTGAAATCCTCAGTCAAAGGTTGGGATATAAATGTAATAAATGAGCAGATCCTCAAATATCCCTTTCTCTGCTATCCTCCAAGGTTTCCTGGATTCACGGTGTCATCTGAACCGTTAAGATTTAATGTCTTTAATAAATAACCTTTAGAACTGAAAAGGAACCACAATTCACTACACGAAACACAAACGGGCGTGCTTTTAGTTTCTTCCCGGTGATCACACAGACACCAGAAATGGACCCAAAGAGAGTGATCTTGCGTGCAACAAAAAAAGAGAAGATGTTCCCAGCAGGGAATGGAAGGTATGGGTAGGATCATTCGGGAGGCAGGCTGGTCCACTCCAGCAAATACATTTTCTGATTGCCCTCTTTAAGAGCAAACCAGCCCATCCTTGCAGTGGACCAAACTGCAGACTGAATCCTTGTCTAGCCAGACTCTCTGTAGAGCTCAGTAGTGTTAGAAATAACGCCATTAGCCATGATAATTTACTCTACAGCATAAAGACAGTTTGCTTGGAAAACTACATTCTTTGTTTGATTTGAAGTGGCTCATTAGAGCCATTACAGGATATTGGCTAATTAAACCATTCCTCAGCTCCTCCGCGATTTTTTAAAAACCTCCCTTACAGCAGCAAAAAGAGCATGGTGTGGATTATATTTAAAACCATCTTTTTCTTTCCCTTATTTTAAAGGGCTGTTTGAGAAACGGCCCATAGCCGAATCTACCACCATGGCAGCTCCTCAACTGACCCTTGAAGACAAGGAAAGGAAGTGTATTTGTGTACTAGGTCTGTGTATTAGGCTGTGTCAGGCTCTCCACTGGACCTTTCAGTGTTACCTAATGCACTCTTCCTAAAGATCTCTCATAATACACACATATATGAACTTTTAAAAGATGGAACAGATAGGGTCACTTAAGGTTTGTATGCCATTTGGAGGATTGCACTGGACCTCTTAGAAACCTTATGCCCTCGGCCAGCTCCAACACAGCCATGTGGACAAGCCCAGAAATTATTTGCAAGCATATCAGCAACCAATGCAAAATTAGTGTCCAGTGCAAATTAGATCCAGTGTAAATTAGTGTCAAGCACAATCTACCTCCAAACCCAAACCTGAGTTTAGATGAACTTAAGAAAAAAAAAAGCACATGGCTCTATGGGAAGTGAATCTTAGCAGCAGAAGTAGCTTAATCTCAAAAACACTTCACAATCAGTCATTTCAGGTTTCTGGCAAACTTTCAGCAGCATGCTAGGTGAGGAATAAAAGAGAAAAGGGGAGGGAGGGAGAGGAAAAAGAGGGTACTAGAAAGCGAAACAACAGAGTTGTCAAGACAGGCGTGGCATGTCCGTTTCAGCCCCACCCACTGCCAGCAACCAAACCCCAATTTATCACCAAGGGAATGACAAGGCTCCTCACCTCCTTTTCATCTGCTGCTAGCCCATCAGTGAGAGGCGCATAAAGAATCATATATCCAGTTGCACCTGGTACTCCACTCCACTTTGCTTTCATACTGTTGTGCGAGACATCGTACAAATCCAGATCCGATGCCATTGGCAAGGCAACTGTGGGAGGGACAGCAAGAGATAAGTATTTATTACTTACATTTTCATCCCACCTTTCCAGTTAAAACATATACAATCCCCAGTAGGCTAACAAACATCACTAAAACAAATCAAGCAATTACAGTTATCCCAGTGATTGACAATCATCTTAACAGTTTTAAGAGCCAAATAAAAAGATGTATCTTTTGCAATGGGACACTTCCTAAAAGGAAGGAGAATGACAACTGATAGCATATGGATGAGGAGCCTGTTTCACAATCTAGGAGCAAGATTTGGAGGCCCATCAAGAAGTCTTTCCTAAGTGACAGGATTCTCAAGTGGGCTTCTCCTTAAAATCACAGTACCCAGACAAGTTTCTAAAGAGGCAGATGACCCCCTAGATAACCAGACTTATTTGTGAAAAGCAGTTGGAAACTTCCTATAAAGTTTAGTGTCTTATTGTAAACTCAGTGATCTAGGGTGGGGGAAGACTTGACAACACATGCTGTGTGATCTCTATTACTAACTAAAACTCTTGCTAGCTATTAAGTCAATGTCTGGAAGATTCATAAGGTGCAGAAAAGATTATTCATGTGTTTCTATTCATCATTTTCTAGGGAAAGGAGAGACCCACATTTCCTGTGTTACTACATTGATTTATTAGAGATACATAATCTGTCCAACCTCTGTGATTTTTATAGTTTCTAATGGAAACATTTCATATGTAAATCAATAATGCATATAAATATTGAACATACAGCTGCCCCAATGTTGTAGAGTGCATGGATCTCCAAATGCACTGTGTCCACAAGGATTCAGTTGCCAAGAAACTCCATGTCCACCACAGAACACAAAAGATTCTGAGACATGATCTAGGGTTGTGTTTTACTTACATGGATATATTGACTGAGTCTACTGGGTCTCTTTCTCCTCCTACATATAGGAACAAACCCCTCAACTTCAGGTATCCAGATGTAGTTGGAGTATGACTCCAGGATCCCTAGCCATTAACAATGTTGTCTATGAATAAAGAGAACGGAGGTCCAGCAGTATCTGAGGTTGGGAATTACCTTGGGCATCCATCTCTCCCTTTCCATTTGTTCTGGACCTCTCACTGCACAGAATAAATTATATAGGAGGCTGCACAGAGGTACAATGCCTGAAATCCTGTTGTTCTGCATAAAAAGGTGCTCATTCAGTCTGTTCCCAGCTGGCAAAGAAAGAGTTGCCACCACAATTCAGGGGTAGATGCGTGTAAACTGGGTTGGTGCAAGTTTGCGAATCCTAGCGGGGACCCTTTAATTGCCAGCTAAGAATGGACTGAATGTTACAAGTGTTATGCAAAGCAACAGGATTTCAGCCAATATTGCAAAGAGAGATCTAGACAGGCAAAGAGAACTGAAAGGTCACTTTGTAGAAGCGATATGGTTTGTGATCCTTGCTGATTTCCAAAATCAGTCCCCTTCTGGGACAGAAGGTAATTATTCTCAGAGCACTGAATGAACAAGCAACAGATACTGTGGTTTTCTGTAATCAGGTGGTTTTTTTTGGATACTGTGGATGAAACCAAGTTATATTTCAAATATAACACAGCAAATAAGAATAAAATTATTTCATCAGTATAAAAAGTAATATTTTCCACTCAATTTGAAAAGTTACATTTCACTGGCATTCGAAAGCTTTTTCAGGGGCATTTTGAAGAAATTTTTGGAACTGAATGCCATTCTCTGATGAATTCTAAGCATTGTCCCCCATGAAAGAAATAAACAATTATTAAGCAGTGCTTAATGTAACATCACCAAGGGGACTTTTTCAGTACCAGTAACAACTGACAAGTAACTCTCCAAGCTCCAATTACTTCCATTCTACAAAGTGGGGAACTACAATCTACTCTTTCTTTTTCTCTTCTGCCTTTGTCCCACCACCTCTATAATATAGACACAGTCTTCTGGAGTTCAACTCACAGAAACTGTACAATGAAGCTACTACACTGGCACCATCGTCTTATCTTAGTTTAGAGCTGGACAGCCGGAGAAACTTCGGTCCTTCAGATGCTTTTGGCTACAACATCCAAAATCCCTTAACAGTGTTGCTCATACTGACCAGGGCCCCTGGGAGTTGAAAGTCCGCAGCATCTGGAGGTCCAAAGGTTATCTCATTCTTGTGCTACGTTGCTGCACAAGAAAATCAGAAGCATCCAACTACTGAGTGTAACTGTGGTGTGCATGGCGAGTCATGACTGTGTGGATACCCAGTCCCCTCCCACTTCTTCATGTTACCTTGAGTAAGTAAAGTCCATTCAATGTGAGTTATTTGACTGCAGAAAGAGAAGTCACAGCCTACAATCTTCTCTTTGGGTATTCTGGAAGCGCTTACAAAAAAGCACTTATAATTATCGTCTTCCATTTCTCAGACACTGATAGGCATTAATGTAGTTATCTCGGCTGCAAAATGGCATGTGCAGTGAAAACCAGGGTTTGTTGTACTGTGTGCACCAACGGATTGATTTTTGTGTGCACAGATGCTTTTTCATCTGTCATAATCTCCCAAGCACAGTCAAAATAAGTAAACTATAATTTTTCCACATACTCCTGCTGACAGCACTACATTTTTTAAACCTTGAAATGTTACTTAGAGTGATTAATATTTACCATTTCAGAGCATTACCTTATGACATTCTAGCAAAGATCTGTCAAAAACACCAGTTGGAAATATTCTGCCTTAGGCAGAGGTGCAGTGAATTGTCAAAAAAAAAAAAAGAGGCATAGGGCTGGGCTTAGTCAGAACATGAATGACTGACTTCAAAAGAGCACCAGGTGCAATGGGAAATGATGTTACTGGGTCAGAATGTGGCTCTATTATCATGGAATTAGTCATTAACCAGTTCCTGACCACAAGTATCATAGACATGTCTGGAATACAGGTAGAGAGGCAGACAGAGACAGAGAGAGATTTCTTGTTATGGTGCAACCATAATCCAAGTTTATTCAGAAATAAATCCTCTACTGTTCAATAGAGCTCTCTCTCTCTCTCTCTCTCTCTCTCTCTCTCTCTCTCTCTCAAGTAAACACCAATATAGAACTTCAGCACTAGTAATTTTTAATGACAGGACACAGGCTGCTGTGCACTGTTTGTGTGAAGAGAAAAATACATTCATTAAGTAACAGGATCTGCCTTTGGAGATGCTGCCTACACTGTCTCTGAATGATTTATTGCCCTGGTCTGTCAATCCACTGCCACACAACTCATGGGTCATTTGGGTTGTATAACAGCTTCAGGTACGATTGGACAGAGACGCAACAGGAGAGGAGAAACCACAGCTTAGAATGAGAGCTTGTGCTTTGAAGGAGAAGGTTCAAAGTTCAGTCCTTGTTAAAGAATCAGAAAGCAGGTGACTGGGGGCCTCTGTGCCTACAACAGAGGTGCAAAAGCTTTACCCAGGACACTGCATCTCCCACCCTCTCTTCCCCACTCAGCTAGGCTTCAGGGCCGTAGCCAACCAACCATTCCTTAGCTTTTGAGATGACTGTTTTCCCATTTTTCATTTTGGCATAGAAATATGATCTCTGTGTGGACTCTGGGGAATAGAGAGGCTTTCCCCTTCACCCCCACAGTCTCTGTGCACTGAGATTTAAGTGGTGGCGGCAGAAGAGACTGTGGATTTGTATGAATGGGATGTACAGGAAGAAGGAGGGTGTGTTCTATTTGTCCGTCCACATGTACAAGCATGCATGCCCATGTACCCCACACACCCATAAATCCTTCTAAATGAACTATGATTCAGATTTTAATGCTCCTACACTGTTCAAAGTTCTTTCAAAAGGGCAGCTCTGGACATTATGCCAAGAACTTTGGATGACAGAGTGTGAGTGTCTGTAGCTGAGTAGATGAGACATCCTTCAGTCTCAAGAGACTATGGTGATGTGCTCTGTATGAGGACTTGGAACAGCATCTAGTGTGGCTGAGAAGGCCGATTTGAGAGTGACAATCCCTTCCACAGTGAAGACAAATACAATCTGTTCCCTGCCTAGCTCCCTGATTTGGCTGGTTTCGTGACTGCCTCTTTGCTTTGGCCTGCTGGACAAGGATCTCTTCCAATTGGGAGACGCCGTGATGCAATGCCTGCCTCTAGGATGAATGCTCAAATGTCAGGGCTTCCCATCTGTTGCTTGCAGATATCCTTGTATTGCAGCTGTCAGGGCTTCCCATCTGTTGCTTCCAGATATCCTTGTATTGCAGCTGTGGTCTGGGTGATTTCCCTGAACTAAGTCTCCATACAGGAGATCTTTGGGAATCCGACCATCATCCATTCTCACAACATGCCTGAGTCAATAGCTGAGTAACTACGTATAATACTGAAATTTGGCCATGGAGATTTGTGGCAAATTAAATCCTGTTCTAATGTTTGGCTCTAGAAATAATCTGTGTCTGCCATGGTTGTGCAGGAATTTATCATACACATTTTTAAACCCACACTTTTCTAACTCTTCTGGTTTTGAGGATCCACTTGACACTTCTGTGGAAATCCCATAAGCCTAAAAGATGACTGCACAGGTTGCCTAGTTACTATTTCTTAGAGAACATTGAAACAAGCCATGATAAGATACTACAATTTCATCTTCAGCTATTCCAACAAATCACATCCAATAACATAGTTTGGCCCAGATAAAATATACCCATGAAAATCACATTCAACAACATATAATTTGGCCCAGATAAGACATACCCATAAATTAGTTTAAACAGGGACACTTGTGCTTCTTGTCTCCTTTTTCCAGCCATTTGAGAGGAAGAAAGGGCTCAAGAAGGCTCATTCCCATAATCCTATACTATTGTTGTTTCTTCAAACCAGGCCTCTTGTTGAAGCAATAAAAACATGGAGATGAATGTGAATTTATGAGGCTGATTGTCACTTGATATCTTGGAGGCTCCAATCATGATTTGGGTTCTGTGTTATGGTTAATACAAACCACAGACTAGCATGATTGAGCCCAGAATGATTACAAAAGTTACTGAAAGCATAAACATTTGTTTCCTTCCTCTAATTTATGTTGGCTGTAAAATTCTGCTTCTCATGTAGAAAATTTTGGATAATCTCAGGATAAAGTATGGACATATGCATGTATGCATATATTTTATTTTAAGCACAGAGTGCATAGGTAAAGGTTCCCCTTGACAAGTGTCCAATCGTGTCTGACTCTAGGGGGCAATGCTCATCCCTGTTTCCAAGCCATGGAGCCAGCATTTGTTCCTAGACAGTTTCCGTGGTAATGTGTCCAGCGCGACTAGACAGGGAACACCGTTACCTTCCCACTGTGGTGGTACCTACTTATCTAATCGCATTTTTACATCCTTTCAAACTGCTCGATTGGCAGGACCTAGAATATACAAATAGGGCTGTTGTATACAGCCCTGGAACTAAGTAGTGTTGAAACTGTGACTTCTTCTCTTACACTGAGTAACACTCAGTTACCACAAGAGAAGGGGGATTGTTTTACGCCTTTACTTGGCATGTTGTTGTTACATGCTGTCAAATAGAAACTGATTTATAGCAACCTTAACATAGTTTTCAAGGTAAATTAATATTTAAAGAGTGGTTTTACCAGTTCCACCCCTCTTGTGAGTCTCCATAGCCAAATGTGGAGTAAAACCCTGATCTCCAGAGTCCTAGTCCATCACTCTATCCACTATACCACACTGGGAACTCATTGGCAGAGTTTTTTGAGGACTAAACTGAGGAAGAAGCAAGATGAAAAGCATCCTTCATCTCAAGCTGCCCCATAACTCAGCAACATTAATCAAAACTGTTAATTACTTGGCCCGTAGGTCAGAATATGTCAGAAAGAAACCTCTTGAAATTATCTGTGGCATCCACAACGGTATGTTGCTCAAAAACTAAAAGAAAGATTCAGTGCAAGCTGTTTAGAATGTAAAACACACACACATGCTCATCCACACACTTCAAGCAATACTATCCTATATCAGCACTAGTTAATTATATCTCCTCAGGTGCTAGCTGACATTTGGCGCCAGGTAGCATTACAAGCCCAGTCGTCCTTCCATCACGGCCTTATTCAGACACAACCAGAATCAGCAGCAAAGTGAGGAGTGAAAACTCTTATCAGGAAGCCTGCTGGTCTTTATCTGTTGTACTAACTCACTCAGGAATTGTTGGCAGGCCCCAGCAAGGTGGAAGCAAGAGAAAAGTCAACCCCAAAGGAAATGGGGCATTTTCTTGGTGTGTGAATGTACGCCAACACCGTAGTCCTGTGTGCATTTGCTTGGGAATAAGCTGTGCTGAATTCAGTCGATCTTGCATCCAAATAAATAAGCATGAACTGTTTAAGCTGAAACTATCTATTGTTAATACAGAACAGAAAACAGAGGGGAGGCCTTTGTAATGCAAATAAGCATGCTGGTCAATGTAGGTTTAAAGTTTTTGTTACAAACCAACGAAAACAAGAACCACTTTATGGCTTATGCACGGCTGGATGTTTTACTCAAAGCTTGGTTTTGAGAAAATGGTATCCACACATGTTTAACTTCTTTTCACCAAGGAGTATTTGAATGAAACAGTCTTAACATAGTAAATTCTGTGTTTTTCATCTCAGGGAGAAAATAAAATCTCAGACATGGCAAATCTTCCTGATGTGGAAGCTATTCAATTATTGAGAGTTTATTTTATAAGAATACTTTTGGTCATATCCAGACTTCATTAGCTAATATTTAAAACATCTGACATACAACCATTGTCTCATATTTATTTTATTTATTTATTTATTTATTGGACTTATATACCGCCCCATAGCGCTACAAGCACTCTCCAGGCGGTTTACAATGTTTTTTAATTATACAGGCTACACATTGCCCCCCCAGCAAGCTGGGTACTCATTTTACCGACCTCGGAAGGATGGAAGGCTGAGTCAACCTTGAGCCGGCTACCTGGGATTTGAACCCCAGGTCGTGAGCACAGTTTTAGCTGCAGTACAGCGTTTTAACCGTTCAGTGTGTTCTATCTCAACACACTGTTAAGGATGTGTATAAAGGAAGTAACTCCACAGAAAATTTTATGTAAAGAAAAATGAAAGGAAGCAGGTAAGTTCTGACTCTGTAGTATGATTGTCTGTTCACATTTACAGTCTGCACTGCCTCCTTAGAAAGCATCTCTGGATGTCCTAATTTCCATTGAGCCATGATACAAAGGGATGTGGGGCTGAAGTGTCCACCTGAATAACAAACTCAATGGCTACTAGCTATACGGAAAAGATGTGCTTATTTCCAGAAAAGCTAGTAGGAACACATGAGGTTGAGGATTTTCAAGGGTTAAGCGTTCCTCCTAGCATGCCATCTCCGTAACAGCCAATCCACATGTCTGCTTTTAAATGTTCGAAATCCCTGATCTGCCTCCTAATGGATCATATAGCACCAGGTGGGTATTGCTGGGACACTCATAGTACCATGTAGCCAATACTACCAACACCGACTGGTAGCAGCTTTATAAGGTTCCAATTACCTCAAGAGGTGGTGAGTGCTCCAGCACTGGAGGCATTGAAGAGAAATTTAGACAAACCCCTGGCAGATATCCTTTGATTTGTATTCCTGCACTGAGCAGGGTGTTCGACTCCATCACCTTATAGGCCCCTTCCAACTTCATTATTCTATGATTCCAAGCAGGATTCTTTCCTAGTCCTGCCTGGGTATGTATGGGATTTCCTGGTGATATCCCATCCAAGAACTAACATGGCTTGACCATGTATTCAAAATGGTATGTTAGTAAACAGCATGGCCAACAGTAACCCAAACATACAATACATGGAAGGTATCCAGCTTTTGTACCCTGCATGAGCTCAGATATAATTTGCAACCTGGGCTTATTAGATTTAAGCAGCACAAAGCTACCCAGCTAAAGTGTCATGAGTTCTGCCAAAGAAGATCTGAAATCTGAGGGGTTAATTACACCTGAGGAGAATACTAGGCAATCAGAATTGCAAGCAGCTGAATCACCACCAGATTCTCCTCCCCCAGTAGCCAGAGTAAGGGACAAGCTTCGGCAAGGACTCATGACACGGAGATCCGAAGCCCGCATGAATGCTTCCCATAGGAACATCAGGTTGACCAGCCCTGAGTATTAGCAGGATAAGGTGTTTAGATGATTGCTGTTGCTATAAAATCTGCACCCAGAGGCTTGCAAGCTTGTGGAAGCAACAAGTCAAGTCTCTGGCTTGCATCCACACTCCTGACTACCTTGAACCTTGTTCTCTGGACCCCTGGCTTTGGACTCTGATCCTGGACTATGTTGTGCGATTTAGCTTTGGACCCTGACTTCGGATTGCGGTTTGTGATTTGGCTTTGACATTTTGATATCGGCTCTGCATTTTCTGAACTTCTGTCATTGGACTGGCTTATTGGACTCTGCTGTTGAAACCCCTGGGAACGTGACATAAAGTGATACCTGTTCTGTTCTTTGACTTACGTGTAGTTTCAGTGCCCCGGAGGCCTTCACTGGCAGAACTAACATATATGGCAAATACAGCTATTTGGTATTCAGTAATAGACATCAGGTTTTTCAATACAGCTGTTGAAACACTGCCATCCACCACCACCTGCATGACAGGAGAAACTGAATTGAGCAAGTTTTTAAAATGTGTATGAAGCAGGTCTTTTCTAGTTGGAAATAAGCCTCGACTTAGTTCCAAAGCAGGAAGAAATAAAGAGCATTTCTTAAAGACATATGCTGGGAGTTAGTAAGCAGGTACTTGGTATGACCACCTTTTCCCATAAAGCAGCCCAGGACAGGCCCAAATTAGTGGCATCTGTTTGAGAGATGGTTAAGTGAAACTGGGAGTTCTTTATTCATTGGGTTTAAACAACTTTCTAGCTCAGAGTGGCTTCCAAATTGTATTTTTTTAAAAACCTAAAATAATCACAAGGATACAGCTATAGCAGCTTTTTCTGACTTGATGATACCACCTAGGTTCCAGGCATTTTCTCCATCCTCCAGGTAATACTTTTCTCAAGGGAGAAAGACAAAAAGCAAAAGAGGATTCAGCTGTCAGATACAACAGCTATAATAGACAAGGTGAACTGCTTGGTACAGTAAATTAGTTAAGTAAATAATGAATCACTGCCCCATAGAGATGACAATCTAAATTTCAGTGCAGAGGACAAAAAGCAGGAGAGTAAGAAAGACCCAAGGAATCCTGTAATTTAATTATCTCATAGGCTTACTTTCCGTAGGAGATGAAGACTTTGCTTTCCCCAACCTGATGCTCTTCAGATATGAACTATCATCATTGACACATTGCCGGGGGATCATGGGTGTGGTAGCCCAACTTTTTTTCAGAGTAATAGATTTGAGAAAGCTAGTAAGTCAATATAGATAAATTAGATTCACTTGTGGACTTCCCATAAACATCTGGTTGGTCACAATATGCCTAGTTATAGACACGGGCGCTTGGTCAGATTCATCAATGTTTTTATGGACTTAACCATTTCCAAATGATGGATTCTGTCTTTCTCCCTTTATCAAACATTTTTCGGAATGTTAAACATGTGGACATGTGTTTCTCTGTTACCTCTTCTGGCTGCCCTCCTCTGGTGGGATAATAGACGACTCTGTATTTTTCCACTTTGCCTGGAGCATGAGTCCAACTCACACGAAATCCTCTGGCTGTCACATCAGATGTGACCAAATCTGTAGGAGCCCCAAGTGTGGCTACCACGGCTCCTATTAATTAGACAATTAAAAACTAATCATTTCTGCCATCCAAAGTGATGAACCTTCTCATCCTGTCATAATCTCTTCCACAATTTGAAACCATTTCCCCTCAATAGTATCCAAACAAACAAACAAACAAAAAACAGGGTGCCATTTCCGGTCTCCTAATTGTGGTGCTGGAGGCGGCTCTGGAGAGTCCCCTGGACTGCAAGGAGAAGAAACCTATCCATTCTGAAGGAAATCAACCCTGAGTGCTCACTGGAAGGACAGATCCTGAAGCTGAGACTCCAGTACTTTGGCCATCTCATGAGAAGAGTCCTTGCAAAAGACCCTGATGTTGGGAAAGTGTGAACGCAAGAGGAGAAGGGGACGACAGAGGACGAGATGGTTGGACAGGGTCATCGAAGCGACCAACATGAATTTGACCCAACTCCGGGAGGCAGTGGAAGACAGGAGGACCTGGCATGCTCTGGTCCGTGGGTTCACAAAGAGTCGGACACAACTTAACGATTAAACAGCAACAACAACAAGTTACCTCTGAGTTCCTTTTCTTGTTCTTCAACTCTTGAGCACACTGTCTTTGTCAGTCCTTCCACAATAGAGTTCATGAAGCTGAAGTCTGCCACATTGTAGACATGAGTGCTGTCTGGTTCAGAGGCAATCTCTTTCAGTTCGTTTTCATCCGCATTCTTTACACCTGGCATTGAAAGAAACAGCAAAGTCGGTCAATGAGAGTTTTGACTTTAAGAGCTTGGTAAAGTTACGGTACTTTTTTAAATGATAGCTCCCAGAGTCTTCCAGCCTACTTGGACAGAAGAGATTCTGAGAACTATAAGGAAAACAACTACTACTTCTATTCCTTTTCCTACTGATTTTATTATTATACTTCTTATTTCTCAGCATTGGTGGTGTTTTACGGTTAACCCAAAAATGTTGGAATTAAGTCCTAAAAATCTGCAGATGATATATAATGTGTTTGCAAAATCACTGGTTTTTGGATTTCAGGAAGCATTGCTAGCAACAGTTGGCAATTGTTTTAAATAGGTAACCAAAGGTTTTTGAATGACAATTAGTATGGGGAGGAGGATGAACTGGTTTTGTTTTTATTAGTTTCTTGTCTTGTCTCAAAGTTTAATATTTTGCAAATTTTGTACTTTCTGTACTTCTGAGGTTGCTTGTTGATGGAACTTCAACTTTTGTAAAGTAGGTTTTTACAAAAGTTGTAATCATAAATCAAAAGTTTATAAACCATAAGTTTTATTACTGGTTTATCAAAAACAGCTGTTTTATAATCATTATCATCATCTTAGAACTGCAGAACTGGAAGGGACCCTATGGATCATGGAGTCCAGCCCCTGACGAGGCGGCCCAGCGGGGAATCAAACTCACAGCCTCTGACTCTGCAACCAGATACCTAACCATTGCGCTATTTAGCAGTAACTTGCTTTGTCCCAGTACAGTATCCAACTATGATATGATGAGTTGTTTCTTTGGATTTGTGTCAGGCCTTATATATACCACTTATACTTTGCTTCATAATGATATTCTGAAAGTATCTAGTGCAAATAACTTGGTCTCAGATTGCACATGTGAATCCCTCAGTTTCATCTTGAAGACGGCTTAATTTAAACTATAGATTTTATTGTTGCTTATTGACATTATCAGCCAAGAGGTCATCAGCATGTATTCAAGTAATCCTTTCTCAAACTGTGCAGCTGTATATTGTGGGTCTTTCATTGATTCTCACTAGCAAGTTGTAATACTGTTATAGTTTTCTACTACCTTTTCATGAAGTCAAACCATGCTGCCACAGAAACAGTTTTGAAGTTTGACTATTGTTGTTGTTGTTGTTATTGTTGTTAATAGCAGTAGCAGTAATCTTTATCTTCATCACCATCATTATCTTTATCATTATTAGTGTTTCCACCCTTTATCCTTGGGATTCTAAGCCCTCAACCGTAAATGCATTCCTCTCCAATTTCAGTGAAAGTATTACATCAATTTTAAAGTGGTTGCTCATAAAGGGAAGCCACTAAGACATCTCATCTTCAGAATGAGTAGAAATAAGCTTCATCAGGAGATGGTGGCGTTTCCTTTCCCAGGAGCCCTTAAGAAGAGGCAAAACCACCATCTGCCAAGTTGGAGTCTGCATTTTTTAGCTCTTGCACTGAGCAGGGGATCTGGCTTCCTATCTAGGGAGTTATGGCAACAGCACATACCAATAGCAAATAACTCAATGCCAGCTTCTCTCAGGTTTTTTGCAGGGGGGATGACATCATCTTGGGATTTCCCATCTGTGATCAATATGCCAATTTTGGGGACTCCCGGTCTTGCGCCTGCCTCAGGTTTAAAGTTGTTTTCCAAAATAAAAGTTAAGGCGAGGCCTGTAAAGAAAAATACAAAATACACAACAATAGACCAACAGGATTTATTCCTTCTGCCTAGAACAGGTCTCTTTTAGGCTCACTAATAATAGTTCACACATTCTAGAAGGGTTGGCTGATGGTTCTTCAGCAGGAGCTAATGGGTACGAGATCTTAATCTTTGAGGACCTGTGTGTGTGTTTGAATGAATGAGAATAAGATATTAATTAGAGCTTAAGGAATTGACACACAGTTAAGAGATTGTACGTGCTTGTGTGTGGATGTTCAATAACGTGTCAGAATGATGCAATTTGATTGGAACCTGAAAGTATCTTGTGGTTACTGGGACCCTCTTTGGGAATCTAAGGTAGGGTAGGAGATCAGTTTTGTGAGAGATTGTACGTGCTTGTGTGTGGGTGTTCAACAATGTGTCAGAATGATTTAATTTGATTGGAACCTGAAAGTATCTTGTGGTTACTGGGACCCTCTTTGGGAATCTAAGGTAGGGTAGGAGATCAGTTTTGTGTGTGTGTGTGTGTGTGTGCAGGATGGCCTCTTTGACTTCACTGTAACTTAAGAGTCCAACTGGAGAAATCCACATTCAAATCCTTGCTCAACAGAGAGTATAATTAATGACTTAATGTGTGTGTGTGTGTGTGTGCAGGATGGCCTCTTTGACTTCACTGTAACTTAAGAGTCCAACTGGAGAAATCCACATTCAAATCCTTGCTCAACAGAGAGTATAATTAATGACTTAATGTGTGTGTGTGTGTGTGTGCAGGATGGCCTTTTTGACTTCACTGTAACATAAGAGTCCAACTGGAGAAATCCACATTAAAATCCTTGCTCAACAAGAGAGTGTAATGAATGACTTTTGGTCAGCCTGAGGCATGTTTTTATAATGCAGCCCTACAGAAGGCTATTACTCAGTGTGTTATGTACAGCTTCTAGCAGAATGCTGCTGGATACAATAAACAATATAGTAACTCAAGCATGACTGACTTTATTTTAAAATGCACCCCAGTGCTGAAATAATATAATCCATTTACAATGAATCTGCCTAATAATGTTACCAGAATAGCGGTGTGTGCGACTTTTCCCTGCCCTCTTCATTTCAGTGTGATCTTTTTCTATTCTTTTAAGCCTAATGGCATCTTGCAGACTGATGTGGAATTTGGCAGAGAAACTCTACACATACTGAAGGCCACAGAAAAGGTTTACCAGCCTAAGGAGGAAAGTATGAGAATAAAACATTGCATCTACAGCTGATTCTCTTCCATTAGGAAGGTACACACATTTTGAAGTGTGTGAGCCGCTCACAAACCAATACTGTACCTGTTAAGGTGTTTCCACCCTTATAGGGTAAGTTGCGCACTGCATCTAAAACAGCATCTTTTGTGCTGTGGGCGTTCAAATGCCACTCTATCCGTGGGTCACCACTGTACTGCGCAAGACCTAGGGAAGAAATTATATATTGCATAAGGTTCAAATGTATTACTAGAAAACACCAACTTTATGACAGAGATGTGCATGTGGAGAGTGCTTATAAGGACAACAATTCTTGGATGTTGCTTTTGTATGTATAAAATATCTCTGTAAACTCAAAGGCACATTTTGCCTCTTTATGAGATTACTGTCAATGTGGGCTGGGCCCTGTATCTGTTCTTTGCTGTTCGGAAGCAGGGTGCAACGGGGTTTGGATTGCCAAGTTTTATTTAAGAAAAAGAACCCCTGGTCACTTCGATGAGTCTTTGGTGGATGGAATTGGCAGTGGTGGAATCAGAGCATGGGTCTGAAGGAATCTGAAACATTCAATGTTAATTCAGGCCAGAATCTTGTGAATGGTGGGCAGAAGCTGGTAACAATCAGGGGCTTTCAAGCATCCCTTCATTACTGGAATCATGCCAAAAATCTCTTTATACACTGTTTATGGGAGCCACATGATATGTAGCTAGGATATTAGATTTGGACTTGGGAGAAAGGGGTTCTAATCTCAGCTCTCTGGACTGTACGCTCTTTGATTTGGGTAAATGGGTGGAGGTACAATTTGTCTTTCCACCTCAAATAGGACAATGTCCTGAACTCTAAGGCACATTTTGCCTCTTTATGGGATTACTGTCAATGTGGGCTGGGCCCTGTATCTGTTCTTTGCTGTTCGGAAGCAGGGTGCAACGGGGTTTGGATTGCCAAGTTTTATTTAAGAAAAAGAACCCCTGGTCACTTCGATGAGTCTTTGGTGGATGGAATTGGCAGTGGTGGAATCAGAGCATGGGTCTGAAGGAATCTGAAACATTCAATGTTAATTCAGGCCAGAATCTTGTGAATGGTGGGCAGAAGCTGGTAACAATCAGGGGCTTTCAAGCATCCCTTCATTACTGGAATCATGCCAAAAATCTCTTTATACCCTGTTTATGGGAGCCATATGGTATGTAGTTAGGATATTAGATTTGGACTTGGGAGAAAAGGGTTCTAATCTTAGCTCTCTGGACCGTACGCTCTTTGATTTGGGTAAATGGGTGGGGGTACAATTTGTCTCTCCACCTCAAATAGTACTATGTCCTGAGCCAAGCTCGTATATAAAGTCCTAGAAAATCTAATCCATAATATAATTTTTTTACACCCCATCTTTTCAATAATTACCTATTCTTGTTTTTTCAGAACCCACGTTGAAGGCCGCAACGAGGTTCTCTAGGAAAAGACGCACAAGCCTAAAGTTGAATCTGCCAATACTCCAGGAACCATCAACCAGGATCACTATGTCTGCAATAGCTGGCGTTTTGCACTGGAATTGATTTTCTGTTAACAACAAAATGGCAATTGAAAGATTTTATTCCATTAAAAATTTTGCACCGTTATGTTGCTTTTTCTCTTGGCTTTGAGAGGACAATACATTTTACAACATAAAAGTGTAGACTCTAGAGGGGAAAAATTGGAAATATCCACTGGATTCTCTACAACCTGTTTGGAAACAAATAAAAATGTGTAATGCAGTTAGAATGTTCAGCAGGGACAACATTCCCAATAGGTGACTGTAAGCAGCTGCTTCACAAGTATGAAAGGTAAGCAAAATAAATACCATATTTTTTCATGTATAAGATGCCCCCATGTATAAGACACCCCCCCCACTTTTCTAATCCAAAATTAAGAAATCTAAGTGGGGTTTAGCAAGTGTAGGGGGAAAAGGGATCAAAGCGCTGCAGGATCGCTCTGATCCCTGCTTTCCCCTCCACTTGTTGTTGTTCTCTCCTCACCTTATTTCTGTGTACAAGACTACCTTCAATTTTTAGTCTAAATATTTTAGATAAAAGTATAGTCTTATACATGGGAAAAATACGGTAAATAATTATAAAATAAGATGTTAATGACTAGCCACTTGTTTAGGGGCTGAACAGGTGTTTGGCGCTTCTGAGCCCTGCCTCCTCTGGCAGGTGCCCACTCAGAGGCTGTGACCCAGCTTCCCTGCCCTGCCTCCTCCTGTTCTTGAGTGGGTACCAGCCAAAGGAAGCAGGGCTCAGAAGCACTGAAAACCTGTTTGGCCACTAAACGAACCAGCACAAACCACCAAACCATCTCTAATGGTTATGCCGAGAGTCATGAATTCAGTGCGGAAAGATTTCTATTATATAAAGGTGGCTGAAGAGATCTGAAAGGGCCAAGACACACACACACACAGAGTGCGGATCTGAAAAGAACAGCACAGAAATAAAATGTGAAGGAAACATTCAGCACATGCACAACTGATAGAATGTAATGCAAGAAATAAACAGAGACCATGTCAGCAACATCAAGTAAACAGTCCAATATAAATGCAGCCGAACATCAGTTAATGGGAGACAATAAATACAACCATATTTAACTTGCAAAATGAAACATGTGTGCCAAGACATTATTAATGTAACTGCCATTCTTTTGAGAAACACTAAGAGCAATCTGATGTGCAGAAGGGTTTTGATAATGGGAAGGGATTGCCACGATTCTATCTCCACTTATCTGAATTTTTTGAAGTGCTAGTGATGGATGACAAAATTGCAAGCTCATAACAGGTAACATCAGCACATAAAATATGGAAAATGGTTTGGTTACAGATTGTTAAAGCACAGAAGACATTAGCACATAGAAGTAGTGGCTCACGATCGTGCTCAGCCATGGTTAGCTGATGCAACAATCTTCTGGTGTGAAAATGGGCAACATGAACTCTTCTTTTCAATTTAGTGGATCCATGCTGTGATTTAAAAAAAACTTGAGTTAATAAGACAAGCACATAAATGTAAGCTTTAATTCCTTCTAATGGTAAAATTCCAATTAATTTCAATAGAAATCAGATTGATTGGAGCAAAGGCTATCTGCAAAGAAACATAAGCAGTTTTTCTGAAATGTCTTACTCTATTTGATGTGCTAATTTGGGGGGAGGGACAGTGTTTCTTCAGGATGATAAGCACTGAAAAGTGGCAGTCAATGACCATCTGCATTAGTACAATACTCAGAATAAAACCAGGTTGGTTACTAAATTAATAGAACTGCTGAGTAGCTCAGTGGTTTAGGTCTCTGGCTACAAAGCCAGAGGTTGGGGATTCGATTCTCCACTGTACCTCCTTTACAGGGGCTGGACTTGATGACCCTTCCAACCCTGCAGTTCTAAGGTTGTTGTTGTTATTATTATTATTATTATTATTATTATTATTATTATTATTATTATTATTATTATTATTATTATTATTATTATTATTATTATTATTATTATTATTATTATTATTATTATTATTATTATTATTATTATTATTATTATTATTATTATTATTATTATTATTATTATTATTATTATTATTATTATTATTATTATTATTATTATTATTATTATTATTATTATTATTATTATTATTATTATTATTATTATTATTATTATTATTATTATTATTATTATTATTATTATTATTATTATTATTATTATTATTATTATTATTATTATTATTATTATTATTATTATTATTATTATTATTATTATTATTATTATTATTATTATTATTATTATTATTATTATTATTATTATTATTATAAGATGGACACTAATGTTTGTTTGACATCAGGTTTCCCTGATCCTTTAGTTCAAATGATAATTTCAAGTAAAATCTGGGGGTCAAACAAATTGATAAAGGACATGTGAATACTGCCAAGATGTACAAAGTGATTCACTAATATCTACAGAAGGATCAAGTTGGCATTAGTAGAGGGATGATGATTCTAATGGATTAGATGTGGTGAATCCCCTCCAGATTCTACTCTGAACTTTAAAGCAGCAATTCAAGACTATTCACCTATTCTGATGCTAGGGTTCACAACTTGGATAGCTCCTGCAGAGTTTGGACAAAACGTAGAATAGATTGGCTGTTTCTATGAAATAGAGTCACCAGCAGGTCCTGGCTGACCACCCAAGTTGAAGGAACTTTACAAGCGCAGCACCATGGTTGAAAATATTATCTCCCTTATAACTACTCATATAATCTCTCATACTAGACAAGAACTTGCAAAAGAAAATGTGTATCTGAATGTCCTTCAAATGAAACCTTTTCCCCAATAGCTAATTTTCTGTTTAGAAGAAATATATTTTCTTTTGCTTTCTAGATGATGGAGCTTCCTCTGAGCAGTCCGAAATTACAAACTCCATCATAATTTTACTAGAACCGTGGGAGTTCTACTGGGGCCTGGAGTTAAGCTAATAACTGGTCCCATTCTGGTAGACCTGCTTGTCATTAAGAGTAAAATGAATGAAATCTAATTACTTTGATTCAAGTGTGTTATCCACTGAAGCTTTCAGAGCATCCTTTTGTATCCCACATTTTTTAAAAAAGAAATTCAGGCTGATTTTGAGTCCACTTCCAAACTTATCTCAAAAGGAACTACTTCTGAAAGAAACATTTTATATATTGTGCACTTAAATTTATACCGGTTGAAAAAATTATTCTATTTGGTTATACAAACCAATTTGCAAAAGAAAAAAAAATAGAACTGCATTCCTCTCAATATTATGTTTCAACACTAACAGAATAAAGTAAGTCATCATTCAATTCCACAAGATTTATCATGAACACCCAAGTGGCAGAGGCTTGGTTCCATATCATATTGCACTTCGACAGAAGTCTCGCACATGAACATTGCAATGAATGTGTTCAGTGTTTCTGTTCATAAAACATTTGCTGCTTCCATACATCCACTAAGTTTATGTGCTTGTTGCCTCCTAACATTTGGCTGGAACTTATCATCAGGTGTTGAAAATCCCTAAAACAAAATGACAAGAGTGAAAATATTAAAGAAAATATTTTCTGCTGTAATTGTCATAATAAAAGGATAGAATACTAGTGAAACCACATAGTTCTGATGGTCTTGTGGAAGAGAAACGTTTTGATTTCAGGTAGTACAATTTTCAACATTTAAAAGAATTCTCAACTAAACCAATAATCAACTATAAAGTGTGCATATGAAGCTGTAACAGATGGCGCAGAGATTGCAAGGCAAATTTTGTAAGGCAGATCCACTTGATTCAATCCATTTGAATGTGTCACATAGGTTTCATCTTTATAGAAAACAGCAGCCATGCAAAGTGACACTGCCCTGTATCTTCAGTTTCACTGTTTCTGTGCCCTTTACCTCAGCACAGGACAGCACATTCTACTGGATAATCTAGCTATCAATATCCTAAAGAACAAGAAAAATAAGTTTCTGAAGTACACTGGATAGCAAGACCTTGATACGTTACCAATGGCATCCTTGAAGATCCATATTCTTGTCTCCTGACATATTCCACAAATAACTCTCATATGGGTCAAAGGTTAATTTCTTCTTTCAACCCTTTGTTCTGTACAGTGATGCCTCGCAAGATGAAAATAATTCGTTACACGAGTCATTTCGTATTGCGAAAATTTCATCTTGCGAAGTGCAGTTTCCCATAGGAATGCATTAAAATTTAATTAATGCGTTCCTATTCGTCTTGCGAAGCACGACCATAAAAAATTTGTCTTGCGAGTCACCAAAAAAAATCGCAAAACGCTTTTGTCTTGCGAGTTTTTCGTTCCGCGAAGCGTTCATCTTGTGAGGCGTCACTGTACTGTATATACAATGCTAAGAGTGTGTTTTCTGAGGGCCTGAGTTTCTGCTTCCAGGAGGGCAGGGTGAGCCTGCACTTGTCCTAGCTATAGCTGAAAAACTGATTGACCTTAGTTGATCTCTCCTCCTTCCTTCAAGTTCAAATACCTAGAAGGCAGGCAGGTGGTATCAAAACTATGCAGGTATTTCAGCTGGAAGAATTTCATACTTTAACATGATGCTGGTCTTCTAAGGGGAAAAAAAGCCAGAATAGATTCAATTACTTGAAAGGCAGAGGGGTACTAGGTAGTACGTTGACCTATTTCACTCAAGCTGACTCTGCTTCTTTCCTATTAAGGAAGTCTCTATTTTGTCTCAATCTTCCATATATTCCATCTGACAGTTTAAGCAGGTATTGACAATCTGGGACATGGAAACAACATATTAATTCAGCCTGACAACCTTTTTGTGAGACAAGTATTATCCTGCACTTTAAAGCACAAGACTGAATGGACATATTGAGTCCAGGTTTCCATTAACAAGAGGAGACTTTATTCTTTATTTATGCAGGTGTGGGCAGGAGGCAAAATAGAACAGCAAAAATGTGCAAGTGAGATGTTTGATTGAAAGAAGTCCAGGCAAAATTTAAGAATTGCATATATCAATATACAGTATACTATTCCTAGGATAGAACAGTGCAGAATAATGGATTTCCTTTATTGAATGTGCCATGAGATGAATAAAACAATCGAGAGCTAGTCTCTATAGTTTTCTGATTTTAGTATGTACATTTCCAACCATACATCAGGGTTGTCCATTTAATTGTCAATATTTTCAGGAAGAGCTTGTCCTCTAGTGTAAGGACATACATTACCCGATATTAGTCAGTAAATGAATAAATAATGATATAATAGTTGTTGTGGGTTTTCCAGGCTCTTTGGCTGTGTTCTGAAGGTTGTTCTTTCTAACGTTTCACCAGTCTCTGTGGCTGGCATCTTCAGAGGACAGGACTCTGTGCTTTGGCAGAGTGCTTCAGAGGACAGCACTCTGCGCCAGACCACAGAGTGCTGTCCTCTCAGGATGCTGGCCACAGAGACTGGCGAAACGTTAGAAAGAACAACCTTCAGAACACAGCCAAAGAGCCCGGAAAACCCACAACAACCATTAGATCCCGACCGTGAAAGCCTTCGCGAATACAATGATATAATACTTCACTCAGAAATAAATTTAATTTTCTTCAATAGAGCTTCATTTCAAAGAGAAGTGTTCTTCTAAGTTTGTCTGGCAGCTGAACTACACCTGCAAACTTTTAATATTCCATAGGCAGGATACAGTACTCTCATTCTGCTAGTAGAACTCCTTCCATCAACAAAACCAGCAAGAAAAGGATGCCCCCTTTCCCTTATAGACCCTCAATGAATAAGCCCATAACCCCTATCTCAGGGAAGGTTTTCAGGGGAGAGAGGAGAGAGGTTTCTGTCCTGCTGCTGAATGTCCACTAGCACAATGGTATCAAATTCCAGTGAAAGATCTAAAGGCACTTCAGTCTTGCCCAGCTGATCAGCGTGTTGGGTTCTGGCTATTCTTCAAGAGAGGAACTGCTGTCTCTTCTGTGGACACCACAGCCTTCAGTGGATAAAAGAAGAAGCAGCAAGCTGAAAATTACTTTTTTGGGTGACAGACCCAGAATCCCCCAGGCAGGATGAATGCAGGGTTGAGTTGTTGTTGTCAAAAAAGGCTCTTTTCCATATGCCGAGAAGTACTGCTGTGAATAAACTAAATGCCCCTCACTGGCCTAGCTAGCATTCTTTCTTCAGCTATGTGTATCTAACAATGCTTCCTGGAAGCACTCATGAAGGTCAGGAAGACAGCACTTCTGGGGATTGTCTACACTCTTCAAAAAAGTTTAAGAAATTGAGAGGTTCTTAAAAAAATGTCCCAAGGGTGCAAGGGTTGCCATTTTTCCATACTGGTGTGTATGTGTGTTAAAGATTAAGATTTTTTTGTCTAGCAGAAGGCACAAAGGGGATTTTACAGGGGGAAGAAAGCCAATTTGAGGGATGGGGTTGAAGGCATAGACCTCCTGACCATCCAAACTCTGCTTAGAAGCTGTACAAAGGAGAGTCCACCAACTTTCCAAGATAGTCTGTCATTACTAAACAGCTTGTGTGGCTTGGAAGTTCTTTTTAATGTTCAGATGATATCTTGATGGTTGTAATTTGATCCCGTGGATCTGAGCACTGCTCTCTGGAGCAACCCCGAGACTGCTCTCTGGAGCAACCCCTTCAAATATCTGAAGACAACGGCCATAACAACCTCTTAATAATTTCTTTTCCAAGATGAACATTGGAGCTGATTACAGTGGGAGTGTTTCCACTACTCTACAATTTTTTAGGTGTGTACAGCTTGCAAGGGGGAAAGAAACCTTCATAAATGCAACTGAATCTTTCGAATGTCTTTTCCACACACAGGAAGTGGTGTTGTTTTTAACTTCATCACTTTAAGCGTATAGCCAGATTTCACATTAATGCTCAAGTAAATGCAGCCAATTCCAGCTTTTTCTCAATAATATTTTTTCAAAAACTTGGAAGCTGTGCAACAGTTAAGTGGAAGTGACACCCCAAAGCCCCTGCAGCCCTCCGTCAAGTTAAGTCTTGTTCCATTCAAAGAACTGGAGCAACCCTGCTAGAAGATAACCAGATGCAAGAAAGCCTTGACGAATTTATTAGAAGAGACACAGGCAAAAAGTATTTAAATGTTAGTCGCAATATGTATTAAAAATAGCAGAACCTGTTGCTGCTTTCTTCTTGTGTTAAAAGAAAAAGTGTTTGTGTGAGAAACATGTTGACAATGCCCAAAGGAACAATTTTTCAAGATTGGGACATGGTGAAAGAAGTTGTGATTGTGTGCATTCTTGTTTTAAAATAGAGAGTGATTAGGACACTAAGGCATCTGTAGAGGGTTAATGAATCACTGGGTATAAAACTATCTCAGCATAGTCAGAAGAAGCCATTTAGAACTTCAAAGCACTTGCCCAGGGAACGCTAAGGATGGAAACCAATGGAACTGAACATCACAATTCCAGTGCATGGAAGAGAGGTTCCTCTATGACATGCCATAACACTTGGCCATGATCCCAAGTCACTTCTATAAGACCACCTCTGCCTGCAATGCACAAAACTAGCCAAGTGAATATAATAAAGAAGCTAGACATGCACACCCATGAGAGGATCCTCTACGAGAAGCCACAGGGCCTGCTCCAACCCAGTGCCAAATCCAAAGGCAGTGCACTGTCAAATTTGTGCATTATTGGCAGAGTTGGGCACACTCAGCAGTGCCTTGGATGAGGAAGCAGCTTTAGGTCAGGACAGACTCTGTGGCCTTCCACAGAGGACCCCACCCTGTATCTCTGAGCTTATGATTTGAGATGGCCCAAAGCTAGAACTGCTGGATAGCTCAGTGGTTTAGGCATCTGGCTGTAGAGTCAGAGGTTGGGAGTTCAATTCCCCACTGTGCCTCCTTGACAGGAACTGGGCCCAATGATCCATAGGGTCACTTTCAGCTCTACAGTTACAAAATTATTATTATATTATTCCTGACTTACTTACTTCCTTTTGAAGAGAAACTGGGCTCAATGATCCAGAGGGTCACTTTCAGCTCTACAGTTACAAAATTACAATTATATTATTCTTGCCTTCCTTCCTTTCTTTTGAAGAGAAAGGGTCCGGATCACAGTTATACACAAAATGGAGTTATCTGCTTAATTTGGGGTTCAAGGCCAACCTATTTCACCTTTTCTCGACTAAATTAACAAGCTTCACAATTTTGCCCAAATAAGGAACTGGGAATAAGAAAATCTCAGCATCAGCAGCGACCTAACTGTTTGATGGCTGAACGTCTTATATAAGTGCCCATATATTTATTATTCATTGGCAACAAACCATTCGCTTTCAGAATACCAGAATTGACTTGCTCCGTCAGACCAAAATCTATCCTCCCCAACATTCTCTTTTTAACAAAAATGCTCCTGAACTCTCATTACAACAAGGCCTCTCACTGCTGAATTCTTAGATTATTTTTATTTTTAAAGATCTGACAGACAGACAGACAGACAGACAGACAGACAGACAGACAGACAGACAGACAGACAGATATAGATAGACAGACAGACAGACAGACAGACAGACAGACAGACAGACAGACAGACAGACAGACAGACAGATAGATAGGTAGATAGATAGATAGATAGATAGATAGATAGATAGATAGATAGATAGATAGACAGATATTCTCATCTGTTTTGCTGTATGGATGGCATATAAACACCAGCCACCCGTGGCCCTAAGGTAGTAGGAAGAGGCAGCTTCCTTCTAGTGACCCATAGCCTGTGCATAATAACTGCTTAAATCAATAAAATAAGACTACAAAGATAATTTTGTCTAGAGTAGAGTAGAATTTTTTGCATTAAAAAACTGTACTATCTCCACAATGGCTCCATTTTGCGATTACAGCTAAGTGCTATACATAAAAACATCCTCCATTAATTTGTCTGATTCTCACAGTATAATCTAATGTGTGTTTACTTGGAAGTGAATCTCGTTATGTTCAATATAGTTTAGTCCCTAAGCTTGTTTAGGACTGCAGTCTACATCTACCTAAACTTGGGATGTTCGCCACATTTCCTGGCAGCAGATTCGTAGTAAATCTGGTTTGGATTGAGTGCCCTGCATTTAAAAGGGGAGGGGGAAAAACCCTCCTTGTCACGTGAAGGTAACCAGTGCTACTGAAAAGCAGAGTAATCTTTTTTGGCAACACATGTTTGAGCAAGACAAAAACTCGAACACAGAAAGAAACAGGAACCCAAATGCCTGATATACTAACATACAAACGTGGACAGGATGATCAAGAGTCTTTCAGTGCAGACAAAACACGATGCCCGAAATTGGTCCTGCATAAGCTCATTCTACAGGTTACAAATCACTGCTAATTGGTGCCTAATGGCTTTGGAATGCTCAACTACTAAAAAACTGAACCTGTCCCCCCCCCAACTCTTTAGCTCTTGGTGTGTCACTTTTAGGCATTGCAATAATTAACAATGCATTTAAAAATTACTAGAGTGATTCAATGTTAGCATTAGAAAAAGCGGTAGGAAATTGTTTGTATGCACAACATCCCTTCCTGGACATATTTCATGCATATTAAAATGTTGATTTTACTAAACAATATAGACGATACCACCACGGTCATCCCACCCAACCGCCACCCTCCCCCCCCCAATAAATTCTGACCTTCCACTTTTGGAAATGCTGTACTTTCTGTATCCTCTGTTGGGACAGCAGGTCTCCATTTCCCTACATCCTTGACTTTGGGTTTGCCTGAGGTTTCCTTCTTTTTTTCAATATCTTTAACTGCAAAAAGATACAAATGGTCTTTTTTAAAAAAACAGCTACATATAAACATAGCGAATTCAGTCAATTTCAATTCAATTTCAATTTATTGTCATTGTTGGTCTTTTTAAAAAAAACAGCTACATATAAACATAGCAAATTCAATCAATTTCAATTTAATTTATTGTCATTGACACTGAATACACATACAATGAAATTCACAAAGAACACTAAGAGACCAGACCAAAACACAGACACACACCCTTGTAACAATCCCTAAGTCCCAAAACCCCACCCAAGAGCTTCATAGTATCCACACAACATACAACACAACAGACCAAGTAATAGTAATGCAGTCCAGCAACTCACTGCTGATGATTCTTAAGTTCCTTATTAAGTGCAATTTATATTCCCCAACCCTAATAATAAAGTTGACTTTTCAAAGTGACACAACCAAGATTTTTTTCTACAAAAAATTTTGCTTTACATTTCAGCCTTATTTTTCTTCCATTGCCTGTCATGGAAACACGATTTATACTTCATCAGATCAATGATCCATGAATCCCATCCCATCTCCTCTCAACGGCAGCTGCTCTAGTCTAAACATATTCAGTAGGAACATTGCCAGTCTTGATCTTTCAATTAATGTACAATATATCTCCTAACTTTCCGCCCAGTTTTATCATTCATCCGAAATACTTCTGTGAGGCCTCAATGACCAAGTCTGATAAACAGAGCATCACAGAGACTGCAATGAGATGATTTGAAGGGCATAATATTTTTAGATACAGTGTGAAAGCTATAAGAGCTTTGTATGTCATATCCACTGCTTTGAATATCAACTAGATACCAATATAGTACTAATTAAAGCCCTGCAAAATCTCTGTCATTTTTCCAAGCTGTAATTTTAAAAAAGAGGTTCTTCCTATTTCTGGTGAATTATTTTAACATTTCCCTTATCTGTTCTTCATTAGACTAAATATACTGGGCCCCATCAGTCTCTTCCTATAACTCTTGAATTTTGAATGGTTTAATGTTGTTGGGTCACTTTGCTCTGAATCGTCTCCAACTTTAGTCTTCCTAAAACATGGTAACTAAACACAGTGCAACTGTGCCACAGACCCATTACTTTATAACGAAGTCACCAAAAAGCATTTTGTATGGGGGCAAGGTTGCATTATTACAAATTCTTGCTCAAATCTACTGGTGTGACAACTGTAGCCTTCTTCCTTTAAAATTCAGGTCTTATCCCTCTTCATGGCATCTTCCTACATTCTACTACAGCAATTAGCAAATGAGCAACCTGGTTTGCTACTGAAAAAATCATAATCATCATGGAGTCATTAGGAAACCCAGGACACTGAATGAGTCTATATATGATAAATGTATTTGCAAAAAAATAATTTATTCACACTATACGTTTTCAAGTTATACATTTAAAACATCACAAGTGTACCTAGAAGCATCATTTTTACCTACATTTCAGAAGGGTTAAAAATCCTACTTCTTAACCTATATAACCATACATTTAAGGCAGAAAGGAAGGATTTTGTAAGCACATTACATATGATTTCATTCAGACAAACCATTATACTGTCATGAAGATCTACGTGTGCCTGCAGCCAATGAAAACACAGGGAAGCCAAAGAAACTGTATTGAAAACACACTGAAAGACATTTTAAATCGCACTGTCAAGCTTGCATTTCTGACAGAATGAAAGAATTCGAAAATAAAACCACAGCTAATGACTCGGAGCCTGGAACAACCATTCAGCAGTTTGTTCTTTAACTTGAAAGGAGCCTGTGGTTTTTGAGGGTTTCTTAATCGGACTTTTATAGTAAACACAGTCAGTTACACTGAGAAAGAGCTGTCAATAAGATTGGCACAGATTCTTTGTTAGGACAGCCACCGTGTCACGCGGTACAGGACTTCATTCAGAGATTCACACATTTGGATCCATAGCATGGATTTATGATTGATCTATGGTAGCAGTGGACATATAAGTATTATCCCATGATTGACTGAATGCAGTAGGAACGAACCAGACTCTCTAGGAGGATCCCGTTCCAAATTACAAAACTGCAAAACTAGTCACTGCCAGTAAAAGATACCTCCAGCTTTGTTGAAGCTATGGAGTCTATGACATAACTGGATTTTTTGCTTCAAATACTGGGCCAACCTTTGCGGCTATCATAGATATTTCTATTTGCCCTCCTGCCACGGAACAACAAAAACAGAGTATTCTCAACTTAAGAGGAGCCTCATGCTGCAGTGGTTAAACTGTAGCACTGCAGTGAAACCTCTGGTCAGGACCTGGGTTCAGTTCCAGGTACTGTAATTGGCTTGGGGTTCACTCAGCCTTCCATCCTTTTGAGGTCAGTAAATTGAACACCAGGCTTGCTGGGGGAGGGCAATGTGTAATCTGCATAATGAATTTGTAAACTGTTTGGAGGATTCTTTCCTTTTGCTTTGGTTTCTTGTTGTTTTGTTAGTTTAAGAATGACTATATCTGAACTGAACATTGAGAAGAAACCCCTCTTGATTGGACTAACAGAGTATTTCTAATGTCGGATCAGCCAATTGACCAGAATGATTAATTTCTCCCATTTTCTAAGCTGATTAATTTCTCCCATTTTTTGCTGACTGGCAAGACAACATTTATTGATACTTAACTATGGCCCTGCATCTTTGAGGGATCAGCATCTCCACTACTACTGGATATTTATTGAATCAGCACAGGAAAAAATCCTCAATGAATTTTTTTTAATAAATATCTAATGCTGGTCAGGTACATGATAGGTGGGAAATATGGACAAACCATCGTATTCCGTGGCAGCAACTGTGACTTTCATACTCACCAGATATATGAATCTAAATTTGGGGCTCATTCAGCAGAAAATCATGTTGGTACTGCAATATTGGAAAGAGTGGTCTAATATGACCAGATAGGCGGGATAGAAATGAAAAAAATAAAAAAATAATAAATAAAAGCCCACCCTGGCTGGATAGCTGAGTTGTTTAGCTATCTAGCTGCAGAAGCAGAGGTTGGGGGTTCGATTCCCCACTGTGCCTCCTGCAAGTAGAGCCAGCCTATGTGGCCTTGGGCAAGCTGCACACTGCCAGAAATGCCCCCAGAAGAAGGGAATGGGAAATTACTCTTGAGTATTTTCCACCCAGAAAATGTTGAAAAGGGTTGCCATATGTCAGATGGCATGCAATAATTATTATTATGAGAACTTTAGAATTGTTCCAGGATTTGAAAATGTACATTATAGATGACATCTACAAATAAATACCTACCTGGAAATCAGGTCAGCTTTCAATGAAGTCTACATTTAACAGGTTGCTGGGACTTTTACTGTTGTGTTATTCTTTCTCTTTTTAAAAAAATGTTTATTGTTTGGGGGGAATTTTTTTCAGTCGGTTTCTGTACCTTTATTTTGTTTGTTATGTTTATTATTTAAGCGCAATTAGAAAAACTTTTAAAAGAAAGTCTGTGTTCTTTACTGCACGTCAGTTTAGTTCACTCTCCCCCTCTTCATTCTGAACCCTTAATTCAAAGATCTTTTGCATGCTATTAAGTAAAAATAGGTAACACCTTTTCTGAACATTTCACAATGCTCATCTCTCATCGCCTTTCTCTGTAAAGCAAAATTATAGGAGATAAGCAGACAATAGGAGATAACATACTTCGGAATTGGCTCATGCCCTTACTGCTTTCTTCATCCTTAGCAAATGCAATGATTTGAACTGTATAGCTCTGATCAGGGATAAGACCTTGAATAATTGCTTTGTTTGCATTGTTTTGAAGAGTGAGCTCATTAGTTTTTCCACCTGCAAGAGAGAAATAAGACCAGTATTGCAGTTTTTGGGTGTGTGTTTTTTTAAGCAAAGAGATTTACATTTCTGTGCATCTTTGCAATATAACATTTTAAAGAGCTACACAAATCCAGAGCGAAACCATAAAAACATGTGAAGCACCCTTATTCCAACTAAAATTCTCCATACATCTAGTCCAAACAAATAGGCACACTGCATCCCTTCTCTCTGACACCACTTGAAACTCTACAGCAAGTTTAGGTTTAAAATCCAGCTAAGACATAGAGGTGCATACAAGGGTGACAGCAATACAGTTTATGAAATGAAACCATGTATGCCTCAACACAGCAGACCACTCCTGCAGCATAAGGGGGAATGAAGTGTCTTCAAATCATGCTCCTACATGTCTTCTAACTGAGGAAACTACCCCTCATAAATCACTTACATTCATACGTAATGCTAAAGATGTTTGAACAATATGGAATTCTTGTTGATACAGACAATCATGGTTCTTAAATTGCTACACCACCAGTTAGGAATGCAAGAGGAGGAGACAGCCCACCAATATTAGGAAATTACTGCCGTGTCAAGGACAAAGGATCCAGCCCAAGTAGATTGGACTGTGTCATATTTTTGGTTATTTATTTTTGTTATGTGCAGTCAACTCACCCTCAGTTTATGGCGATCCTGTGAATGAGTGATCTCCAAAATGTCATGCCCTTAATAGCCCTGCGTAGCTTTTGCAAACTCAAGCCTGTGTCTTCCTTTAGGGAGTTAATCTATCTTATATACAGTCTTCCTCTTTTCCTGCTCCCTTAAATCTTTCCCAGCATTATTGTCTTTTTTCCAGTGAATCCTGCCTTCTCATGATGTGCTCAAAGTAGGACAGCTTCAGTTTTAACATGTTACCCTCCAGAGATTGTTCAGGCTTGATTTGATATAGAATCCACTTGTTTGTCTTTCTGGCAGTCCAGGGTATCCACAAAGCTCTCCTCCAGCATCACATTTCAAGCGAATCAATTTTCTTCCTGTCAGCTTTCTTAACTGCCCAGCTTTCACACCCAGACATAGTGATTGGAAATACAGTGGTGTGGATGATCTTGGTCATTCACCAAGATCGGTTATTTAATTTGTCTTTTTTTTTTCAAAGCCACTGTTGCATGGGTTCGTAAAGGTATCCCACACAATCTGTGATTTCACTAAGTCCGAAAAGACCAGTGCTACATATAAAGGAGCAATGCTCTGATAGTATTCACATAGATTTCTCTGTTACAGAACCCAAGCCTGTTGTGGAAGTTTCTGAAACCCATTCAAAAAGAGTCAAAGAGGTGCCCCCAAAATACAATGGTGTGGATGATCTTTGTCTTTTTTTTCAAAGCCACTGTTGCATGGCTTTGTAAAGTTATCCCACACAGTCTGTGATTTCACTAAGTCCGAAGAGACCAGTGCTACATATAAAGGAGCAATATTCAGATATTTTCATTATAGCGAATAGTATTCACATAGATTTCTCTGTTACAGAACCCAAGCCTGTTGTGGAAGTTTCTGAAACCCATTCAAAAAGAGTCAAAGATATATTAATAGCCAACTCACATAACCACTAGCTATGCTGGTTGGAGCTAATGGGTACTGCAGTTCAAAATGTCTAGAGGGTATGTGCTTTAGAGAAGGCTGTTTCTAAAGTATGTTGGAAATAATTTTATGCAAAGAGAGAAAGGCCATCTACAACCTTACATTCAAGTCACATGAAGGAAACTCTCTACATCAGGGGTCAACCCCCAGTCCGTGGCACTATGTTAGTCCGTGGACTTGCCAGAACTGGGCCGCGGATACAGCTCTCCGCCCCGCCCACAAGTGTGACATGCCCCCCGTGAGCATGACAGGCCCACCGCACAAGTGTGACACGCCCATCGCCTGAGTATGACACGCCCACCACAGGAGGCCCCACACACACATAGAGCCCACTCCCCCCAACCGGTCTGTCTTGCGGTGGGCATGTCATGCTTGCAGGAGCGTGTCACGCTCAGGGTGTACAGCGCTTGCAGGGGGCATACCATGGTTGCGTGTCACGCTCATGTGCATGCACGCAGGCCTGACATGCCGCCACAAGTGTGACATGCCCCCTGTGAGCATGACAGGCCCACCGCACAAGCGTGACATGCCCATCGCCTGAGTATGACACGTCCACCACAGGAGGCCCCCCACATACATAGAGCCCACTCCCCCCAACCGGTCTGGGGCCCCAAAACGGTTGGGGACCACTGCTCTACATGACAGGTCCACTGAAGCTCCAGTGTTTCGGGGAACCACAGATTATTGAAATGAGTGAACTTAAACCCAGAGAGCAAAGATTAAGGTAGTCATATCATAGTTTATATTGACATTTTACACCGGCACAGGTTCTTCGTTGCTACTCTAAAATCTATACAAATATCACATTTTCCCAGAGTGAGGGGAAGGCTAATTCCAGTAATTACTGTATGAGACCATTTAAATAAACCCTGTGGTGTCAGCATGGTATTTAAAG